ATGTGTTTTAAGTTTTCGAGCAAACCACATCTGAAGGAGCAAGCCACTCGTGTATGCAAAACGATAGGAATAATATATAATTTACAACAGCCTAAAACCCATATAAACGTACCAGTTTTAAGGCCTCGAAACCCTATCTTTTTCATACAACCCTCGACTGTATTAAGAAATTATTTAATTTGGTGTGAATGTAGGTACTACTAATGGTCAAACAATTTCCTGGCTCCAAAGAAAAGTTGTTTGTAACCTCAGCATTGCTGTATGTATGTAACTAAGCAAAAAAGATGGCGCAGAAAAAGATCGAATTTTTAATTGTAAAGCAATGATTATTTGTGTATAAAGCAAATCAATTATGTAAAACTATTTCAAGAAAGAGAATGATTTCGAAGATAGTTACCAAATTTATGTCTAGTTCGAGTAATTTACTAAGACACAAAGAGTAAAGGTAAGAAATAGAAAATATCTTTGAACTGACTTGCAAGAAACCGAACACCATGGATATTGTTTCGAATTCAACAAACCCGAAAAAGATTCCAGCTGCAGAAGCATCCAGAAATTGTTGCCAATGAAGATGTAGATCAAAATAACAGATCACGCTTTCGAAGTTCCTAAAATCCACTTCTTGGAGCAAAAATCTCCGATTGCATAACAAAGAGATTTTTTAAAATAATTGTTTTGTTGTCCTATGTTTGCTATACCTTGTGGAGTAGGTAGGAAATTTGTTAAGGATGTTTTGTTCTACTTTTTAAAGCTCTGCTTATAGGCATCGCTTTTTCAATCGTCTCGATATCTCAGTATATAAGGCAATATATATTTTCAGGTAAATAATTACGATTTTTAATTATGAAGAAGCATAAGAGAGTTTAGTGCGTTATGCAGTATATGTCCACCTCTAGCTACAATTACTGCATGCAAGCGCCTCGTTATTGAATCCGTAGATTTTCAATGTTTCTTTGGGAATGTCTTTCTATTCTGCTTTCAACGCTGAATGCAAGTAAATCGGTATTTCTAATTTCTAAATCTTTTAATTAAATGTACATATAACCATCAATTCACTTAGACGCTGGTCGATGTTACACTGCCGTTACAAATATTTACAAATAAATGATAAAATACAAATTTTGTCCAATTTTTGGCAATAAATTATATATATTCAGCTGGACTAATAGTTTATAAAATAACCATTCAAGTGCTTTAACTAATTGTTTGATAACTAACTTGAAAGTGCATCTTCCAGAGCTAATACTTTTTCAGTTTTTATCATTAACTATAATGAATTAATAATATATTGAAAGTACTGAAGTATATAAGAATAATGTCCTCTGTAATGGCTAGAACAGTGAACGCGAACCAACCTGTACTAGGCCATCATCACCCTGCAGGTCTTTTTCTGCGGTTTTTTATCAATCTGAATGTAGACCTCTATCTGATACATAAGTAGATACCTAATCTGTATCTATTTAACCGAAAAGTTTATATTAAAGGTGAAGTGTTACTTAATTAACCATGATTATAATTACTTTGAGAAAGTCGTTTTACATGTTATAGAGAGAGCGAATTGACCAGAAATCCAAATGCATTAAAAACTGGATATCTAATGAAAAGAACAATTAAACCTGATACATTTACAAAAAATGTCATGGACACAATTCTTCGATTTTCATAGAATAGAATGGAGTCAATAGTTGTGGAAACCGGGATTTCAAAATTTAAATCAGTTATTAYTATGCGCATATTTTATCTAYAAAAAATAACTAGCYAATAATGAACCCAAACTCACCCATATATTTTAATTTCCTGATACAAATTAAATACTTAACTACCGTTTCAAAATCGYACATAAGGTAGACAAAAAGAATAGCTTTGGGAAGATCTGATTGGATAGTTGAAAGAATTAATCAAGAGAAAGTAGTTTCAGACGACTATCTTTTGGTTGCTTAACAAATATCGGTCTCGTTTTGATAATGAAAAAGAAACACAGCGGCTTCACCCACTAGTTATTAATATTTATAGCTATAATAAAGCTATTGTTATTTCGTAAGTATGCGGATATTGTTACATCAGACGGAATCTCAGGTATAATCTTACTTAGCAAGTTCTAAACAGATGACGAGTAGTCGAACGGCAATCTATAACAGTAGTAAAATGAACCTCCAAGAAGTATGTAATTGTTTAATTTATATCAATAGTATGAATGATAATTCCCAATGTCTTAGAAGCAACAATACTGGAAATTTATCAAACGGTCACTTGACGAACTGTGAAGGAAACTACCACTTTCTGCCACAGGATTACCTACAGGATGAACTTTCAACACACGGTCGATTTCGAGTCTCCTTTCAACTGTCGTCGAATAACCGGAACGAATTATTGCGATCGTATGAAGGAGATTATTTCGTGAATAGTTAGTTAAGCAAGGCAAAGAAGACAACACTTTCAACTAAGAATTACTAGTATTGCTGCTGAATTTACTAGATATTATATTCAACATTCTACGCAAGGGCTGGGGTTTGGAAACTTTATAAAATATAGTTCTCACTTAATATGGGGATCTCATAATTTTATTACAAGAAATATTGATACTCAAGATTCCACTTGTAGAACTAAAATGTAAAATGTGCGTTCAGCATAAAAACAAAAACTGTGTTGTTATGTGACTTGAAATTTTTCGCCAATTCATAACTTTACTTCTTGATATACCTTGACCAGCTTAGATATGCCTTGACCTAGCCCCAACCAGATCTCAACGAATTTATTTGATAAAGGTGTATAGAATTATTTGCTCATAATACAGATTATATTTGCGCCCACAGTATTAACGAGAGCACAACAAAACAAATCTTTGATGATAGAATTTGTAGCAGGAAATATTCAGTTTAATTTAAAATAAATAACTGTTAAGTATCTAGCACTCTCGAAAGTGCAGAAGTTGGTTAGCCAATATATAGCAAATTTTAGTGGTTGATAATTGATTTATTTGATGCAGTTGAGACCCAATTAGTTACCATTTTTCATTAAAAAAAATTCGGCTTATTCAGTGGTATAAGCGTTGAGTTAACACTTTGAGTCGCACCTTTAATTATTTAATGGCTGTTAATTGACTCTTGAGCTCAAGGGTTAGTTAATTAATGCCACACCAACACTTGGGTCAAGGGATAACATTTTGTCTGATAATTACCTTATATCCAGCTACTTGCTTGTGCTAAATCCTGAATATGCCATTTAAATTTTATCAAGGAATTTGGATCAATTCGCGAGAAGCTTTTTAATTTTGCATAAAATGCTCTATTAAGGTTGCATTTATCGGTGGCTTAACACTAATAAAACATCTTGTACAAAATTCCATTACGGTGGCCGACAAACTACAATAGTTTTAGAGCTTTTGACGTGATGCTGCTTTTTTCGAAGTTTCTCAATCCCCATTTTAGCATCGTTAGATAGAGAGTTGAAAATCCCATTCAGCCATAACAACATGAGTGAGGAAGCTTGGGCAATTTTGACCTAGAAAGCAAAATTTGAATACCAAAAACTTAGGATCAAGATTATGCCAAGATTGCATATGATTTCCGTCCCGCTTTTGCTCATTTCTCGGTAGCAAATTGAGCAAGAGCGATTATTTTTACATCATTCCAGAGAGAACTAAATGACCTTAATAGAAAGTGAACCGTCGATAAGGAAACGTTAGCAGTTTTCTCAAAAAGTCTTCATTTCAAGAAGTTTTAGGTCTGAGCGTTTTTTTTTGAGTTGCAATATCGATTCAAACATGAAGCTGCTTTTTTGAAAGTTTCCCAATCCCCATTGGAGCCACATAATTCATTATGGCATCGTTGGATAGAGAATCGAGTTCTTTTGACCCAGGAAGCGAAATTTGAATATCATATACATTGAGCAACGGCGGATCCAGCTTTCAAGTCAGGGGGGGGGCGATTTCAGTAGAAATTCAGTCTTTTGTTGTCTATGAAATTAGAAAAATAATCGTTAGTCGACCTAAACCCACCCCTATGACCCCCTCCCCTCCGGATCCGCCCTTGGGTTAAATGAAATAGGTAGATCAATTTTAAAAGTAACCATTGCAATGCAATGATTTAAATGATGATGGTCAGGTCAATTTCAAATTTGAATTAAAGCACAATCAAAATCTAACTATCATATGATTCAAGGCTCAAAGGCTAGCCTTTATACCTTTTAAAATTGAGTACAAGTTCTACAAAGAGTGTCGTGGCAAATACACGCAGAAACGACTAAAGAATGCCGTTGGCACGCCTAAGTTATTCGACGTATTGTAATTTTGAGCTTAATAAGTGTTGTTGCCAATATCACCAGCTTGATATTAATTTATTATTATGTTTATTTGCAAATTGGGTTGGGATTTAGATACATAACCTGGGGAAATAATCAGAAGCATCGACACCAGGAAATGTTAACGATTTACGTTAGTTAAAGCTTCAATGCTTATTGGTTGAAATTTTTGCAGAGTAATAAGGAGTGCCCAACAATTAATTTTATTCAAGGACTCGTCTTGATGACATTAGTTGCGACTTAAATAATCTGCACACTCTATAACTGTAATAATGTTACGGAAGTTTGAACTCAATAAATATTTTTGTTGGAATCTATTATCATCCTCAAGCAGTATTTGTTGATCTTTTTGTAAATATGATGTAACATTTTGTCAAAGTACCTATGTCGTTTTGCTACTTTAAAAATGTTGCAATACATAAGTTTACATGTTATACATAAAAGCTCAAAGTAAAATTGCCATAAAGTTAACAGCAGACGGCAAATTAAACTAATTCACAAACATCCGATATTGTTCGTAACAAATTCTTCATATGACATTTACACGAATCTCCCAAAATCTCTTCATATCGAAACTTCCTCACCTTCAACATTGAAAGCATCTTCGCTAATACTTTTCTGTAATCTTCAAGCTGTCGAATTCGAAAAGCGAAAGTATTGTTCGCTCTCTTTTGCTCTTGCAAAGACTCGACACTGTCGTTGCATTCTGGTATTCCTGCGGCTGTTCAAAAGAGGTTCTTTCTTCTTTTCCTGCCAGCTAACACTTCTTATTCGGGTCTTGTCTGTTGTTTAGACGGTTTGAACGCGTACGTCGATCTGAGGGAGAGTGCGATTTAATGACCCTCAATTTATTTTGTTGAACAGTTTTGATTTTTTGTCGGAGAAATTGCCATAATGGAGAGGACCGCTATTTTCATGTAAGTTGGCCATTTTTTTCTATTTGATATAACATTATACTGGTTTTTCTGATTATGACACAAACTGCAGAAAACACATGTTTAGGTACTACCCTCTAAATTCTTCCGGTATGGATTAACTAAGATATTTAACTTGGAAATTAGAAAACCACTTAAAAATATTATAGGTATCTCTAAATACCTATGTTTTTGATACTAACATATTTCTCTAAAATTAAACTGAACTGAAATGAGAAAATGAGATATTGTAAGTTGATGCACTTGATCGAATTTAGTTTTCATAGCAAGTGCTATTTTATTATTATTCTACTGCTAAAAAAGGGTACAATGCAGTCCTGCGGTGGAACTGCAAATATGTGGCCTTTGAGCGCTAACTCGTTTGGGTTTCATTACGAAATGGCTTGATAATTTTAACGATGCCTTTCAGACAATTGATAAAATAATATTAACTTTATCCGTTTCAAATCATATTTGCATGCCTAGCGACACAAATTTTTAAAAAGCAAGTTGCACAAAAATTTATTCTGCAGATTGAACCCGGACACAGTTTTCACGCTTATAAAGAGCATAGCTGCCATTTTAAAATGTGCGCTTTAACGTTTTAAAATTATAAATTTCTTGGAGCATTTGCTTGAAAATTTAGTTTTCAGAATTACTGTTAATTTGCCAGACAAACTGTATGCAAATATTTTCTCGCTTAATTCGTTTTCAATGTTGTTGTAATTTTGGTAATTTTTCTATTATTTGGTAGGAAATTAATTCATTTGCCGCAGTATAGGTACCCAAATCTTGCAGGAGAAAATACAGTCGATACTAGAAAATTTTACGTAGTGTCCGTATATTTTTTAACACGTAATAATGGTTGGTTATCAGCTAAAAAATAAATAAAAATAAAATTCCAATTTTTATTTTTTGTTTAATAAATGGAATTATATTCTATAAATACATTAGATTTATTAAATACAATATTTACCATGAACAGAGTAATAATGTAATGCGAAACCAATCATTTAACATTTCACTTTCAGTAATGGTATTCAAGTATACGGTCTAGATAATATAGCTAACTTACAGCACGATTACAACACGTAACATAGCTTGGAGATTTGTTCTTAATATATTAGACAACGGTTCACCGTGCAATTTAATGATTATATCGCTCTTTTAAATATTCATAACTTCAGCTAAAACCACCTTCATATACATAAATTTAACAGCTGAAAGAAACTTTGTTTCAGCACAAACCGGATCGAAAATATTTTTTATTTTGTAAACCTCCAACCTTCGTCTTATTCTCATTCTCTTTCTCGAAGTTTCATCTCAAACATTCTTGCTGATATTTAAGACACTAAAGTACAACATATCCTAAAAGCTTCCCATATATGAGACAGCTAAAAACACAAACCAGTACCCAAAGAATTGCCTGCTGAGAAACGTTCACGGTGAACTTTTCTCTGCTTGCCCAAGGTTTTTACTTTTACTATCAGCAGCCGCATTCGATATTAGCAACAATACCTCATTTACATGTTTCCTTGCTAGTTACCTATCTCAAATATGTTCAATTTTATTTCGAAACATACTTTAACTAATTAGTAAATAATTAATTTCACTTTGCCGTGCTTTGTAGAAACCAACATCTCAAATTATATATTGATTTTAGAACGTATTCAAATTCTGTTAGATATTACTCAACTATATCTATATTCCAATCGCAACCTTTCCTGAAATATGTCTTATTACAGTTTGGTATTTTACTAAAAGTTTTATTGGCACTTAAATACGAATTAGTCGGCAATAGACGTCCGTTTTCGGCCATGAAATTTTAGAGAAAATTGTTATTCGAATATTACGCGATCTAACAATTAGCATATCTATGTGGCTTAATCGAAATTTAAAGATTTAATAATCGGCGGAGAAACTCTTATTTACTTCCAGTCAATTATTCAAATTACATAAATTGATATGTTAAATATTGACTACCTTTCTTTCAGCAAATATTACATTGCGTGATTTTTAACCCAGAAATTTCTTTTTACACGTTATTTTACTTATCTGAAATGCACATGCGGTGCTTTCAAAATGCAAGAAAGCAATTCAGGTTATAAATTTAATTTACCATTTCCAGTTATTCATGAGTATGGTTCATATACGTGGTATTCTACTGCTAACAGATGCATCTGCCAAATTATTATTGCTTCGACACATTTTTCCTTGCATAGTTTCGGTACTAAGCTTTTATTGTTTAAATAAAATATTATACACAAATTGCAAGCTTTCACCACCGCTAATGTCACAAAATGTGTGCTTTCTGTCGTTAGTGGCTCTGCTGAAATAGCGTTATCTTCATCTAACGGTTCTTCTGTTCTCAGGGATCAGTATTTCAGCATATACTTTTTACAAAAAAAAAATTGAATTGTGTTTGATTCGGGTGACTATAGCTTCCTTAGCAGTTTGCTTGAAATTCTTCTTTAAGTTCTCCCAGCTAATATTTACATCTTCCCATTCTCGTATGAGATTGGTATTGATTTATTTTAATAAATAAATATAAAAATTAATTGAATATTGTTTACAGGTGGTAAAATGCTGCAGTTTAATTATTTAGTAGAACTAACAACGTGCTATAAAATGTTCCATCATTTCTTAAACTTGAACTTAAACTCAAGCTCCAAAGCGGTTCAGGATAAGATGTAAAACTTTATTGTTAAGAGTTGTATACAATTCGAATATTGTTGCAAGCTCGGTTGTATGTGGTAATTTGAGTCATTGACGAAACAGCCAATATGAAGTACACATTTTTCTTAATTATACTTTATTAATTATACATGATATCTCATATTTCGATTTGGGAAGTGTCAGAGTTTAACTTTTGATGAAGGTCTTTGACTAAATTCCAATATTTTGCATTTGAATTTTTAGTAATAAAACCTGCTCTTTCCAGTATACATTTGTATTTTTGGCCCTTCAAGAAAAGTGTTGTTTCTTGAATGACCATTTAACGCCCTACAGTTAAAAGAGCAGTTACAGTTGCATACAGTTATAATAAGAAGTAAATGAATAGTAATCGCACTATTAAAATTTACTCAACGGGATTTTGTTTTACTGTTCAAGCCATTTTTAGCTTGATTCAAAACTGCACCGCCAGCCGAGCCGCTAGGTTCCATAACGACGATGGAATTTTTACATATACCACAATACCAAATCATATACATCCGGAAATAGTGCGTGATTTTATTATAAGGCTAGCGAGTTCACAAAAAAAACGCAGTCAAAGTGCCATAGCAATAGCTTTATAAGGAAAAGATCTAGACGAATTTAGCTAGACGAATAGAATACTCTTCACACATTCCCTCACATGTATTACTATACCAGTCCTGGGGGTGCCTCAGGTTAGCGAGTCTCGAAATTTGCTTATTCGAAAAACTGGAATACTGGAAACAATAGTATAGAAAAAATAGGAGATAATAATAAAGATAGATAGCACACAGCAAAGAAAAGGAAGGAAGGCGATCAGAAAAACTTCATTTGCATCATCTTCATCAGCTTATAAACAAATTTATGAGGACAAAGAAGTAAAAAAATTATGAACTAGAAGCAAAAGGTAATAGACAGGCATATAGAACCAAAGAAAGTTACTAGAGATCAGTTAATTTTGAGAGAAAAACTGAAGAAGACAGGTAAAGAGAAAACTAACAAAAATTATGAAGCTCTACAAGGTACAATAAAAAATAAATTTTCGAAAGAAATGCCTGAGAAAGCTCAGGAAAAAGAAGACACTATTCTAATTAAAAAATTAAAAGTTTGATAATGGTGTCCTCAGTTGCAGGGGAAACGTCAGGTTCTAAACCTTATGGACCACGGTCGACAAGCCCGGAAAGCAATATTTTACTATTGAGTCCACAGTCCACAACAATATTTTTTTTTTGAAGAAGTGAGACATACAGTTGAAACCAACCCAAATCCTTGAATTGACCGTGGGCAAGATCATATGAAGCAATTTCTTCGAACTGAATTTTATCCGTTCAAGTTTCAGTGTCGCTACCTATAATACGACTTTTAGGATTTAGCTGAATCAAACCAAATAATTACTAAATAATAACCACCCTTTTGATAACAAAGCGCCTACCGACTTACGCACCTCAAAGTTCTCATCCAACATTTTAAGAAAATATCAAAAAAATCAAGTCTTACTTATCTTTAAACACAAAGATGAATACAAACTGAGCAACAACACATTTAGCAACGTTTGGATCATTAACATAATTCGAATTCGAGATTTTTGGCAGATTCACAGCAAATTCTGATGCAAGCTTACTATATACATACAAAATAAGCATAAAACTTTTCAAAGGAGATGCTACTACATTGTTTCGTATTCAGTACGTATTGCATCTCACATTTAACATTTTGCATTGACCTTTTATGCCTGTTAAGATTACATTAACATTTAAAATGACGCGACTCGATTACTATATGAAGCAACCAATAATCTAAAGGGGTTTTAATAAATTACAACTTTCTGTCAATAATGGAAGCTTCCATAATTTAATATGCAATTCCTTTAGACGGTGTTTTCTATTAATTTTCTTCCACGTTACATCTAGAAATTTTGTTAAAAGGCCGCTTATGTATCTAATTGGCTTTGATATTCCGATGAAGCTTACATGATATGCATCTAAAGTACCTTTTAGCACGTTTTATGTTTATCCTGTAGTCTTATCACGTTTACTACTCTTACTTTGCTTCCTTAAGCAACACAAGAAATGCAACAATCAACAAAGTTTTACCTTTGGAACAAATTAGTTATGTAAGGCGATATGGTGCAACAAAAATTTCTATTAAAGATCAACTAATTCTGAACAAATCACTCGGGCAACAGCAAAACCGGGTTGGGACCTTTAGCCGTTATCAGCTGAGCTGAACCTACATACTGGTCAAAGTAAAAGTATAATATAGTTTAAAGCTAGTTAAAAGTATAATATATACAGACTAAACATTCGAGA